CACAACAATCACTGAATTATTGGTGTATCCCCCTATTATGAAATTTTCACACACAAACCCCACTTGATTCAATATGTTTGACCAGTCATCTAAGTTTGAACTCTTTCACTAGTAAAATCAAAGGAAAGAGACTCAGAATAAATAGCATAGTTGATTGGAGCCTTTTCATTGCGTGATCGATTCAACCTCACTTTCTATGTTTTCCACAATAGCTACAAAATTAGCAGCCATAGCACTTTTGTCATGGCTAAAGGAAGATGCCACCATACTACATAAAATTAATTACATAATGTATGAAACTCCTATTATTACAGGGTTCAGTGAAGATTCGATATACACAATTTTACCCTTATAATAAAAAGATTATTTCCGTACTTCAAAATCATGACTTCTAAGTCACTATAAAATAACTTTATCAGTACACTAAAGTCTGTCTTCAGTGTCACCATGCTACCTATGTGATATTATTGTTTAATATGTTGCAATCATGCAATCCGCAAGACGTATTGTTTGACAATTTTGGTTGATTTATCCTCTCTTAATATTTTTCGTATATCGGAAAATGTTTTCCAACCACAATTTTTTGGATTTATAGCTAGTTATAATGTAAAGTTACAGTATGTACAATCATTCGCAAATGTACACGTCAAATAAATTGAAATTGTTCAATAAAAGTTGAATTTGAATATTCGAGACAATAACAACTAAAATACATATTTTCAATCAAACTATCTTGTTGAGTTTTCTAAACCATGTTGTGAATTAGTGGTTATGATGATATGGTTATAAGTAGGGCTGATAATTGAGCTGAGTTACTCGGGTTTAGTTCGGAGATGACTCGGCTCGAACTCGGCTTGTGTTGAATAATTTTTTATGCTCGTTTAGAAAGCGAGCCTAAAAAAGTTTAGCTTGAACTCGTAAAATTCGATTCGTTTATATGTAAAATAGTCGAGCCGACTTGGTTGGGAGTTGACTCGTTTTTAAAACGAGCCAAGTTTAAATATTTTTTAAAGCTCATTTAGAAAAATAAGTTTAACAGATTTGACTCGAATTTATAAAATTCGACTCGATTAACCGTCTAGAAACTGATAGGGGTTATGGATATCCTCTTCTTAGGTATGAGTCGCATCACCATCAAATGCCATCAGCAAAAGATTTGCTTCACAGGGTCTACCTAAAGCCTAGTTATATATGTTCAATGTAAGACCAAACTACTAACTATTAACTTTGATATAAGTTCTTTTAAAAGGTAAACCGAAGTCCACTTTGTGCTTCAATAATTGAGACTAACTTTTCCTATTAAAGAAGAAAGAAATGTCACTGATTGTGGCCACTCGTAGAGGGGTGGTGTTAAACAACTTTTTTTTTCTTTCTTAAAGGTCGGGGGTGTCTAGGCCAGTTTACACGTACCTTGATTAATCTTCACGAGGAATAAATCTCTCATGATCTAGTCTTAAAAAATTGTCAAAATTCGAACTTAAGACATCTGAATTTACGACTCGTTCTTTTTACTCCTTGAGCTACCCATGCCAACCATACCATATAAATGGTAAGACATAACTAAATTATGTAATGCTAATTAAACTTAACTTATTGACCTAACGAAATATTACTATTAAATTAACAACGTGTCTCAATATTTATTAAATCTCTCTATCAATTCAATTATTATATTGTATTAAATCCGCAAATATGTTCAATAAATTAAGTTCNTGATAAAATTTCTCTTTATTCACTTTTTTGCTTGCAACATTTGGTGGGAAAAAAAATTATTTTCACTCTATTTGTATTTTTTTATCGTTTTATTTTTTTACTAAACCAAAATGAACTGGTAGTTGGCCACCCGTTTTTTTAATATTTTTGGATTCAACCTTGATCTAAACAATGTTTTGTGAGTGTAAATTGGTCCGAACACTCATGATCGTTGAACCAAAAAAAACAATACTTCCTTATACTTGGAAAGCAAGCAAGTCATTTAATTTAGTTCTTTCTAAATAATGTCAATTTCATCAATAATTAAGGGTCTCAAACTTGAGAAAGCAATTGGTTTTTGTTTTGACCAGGTTATTTGAGTTTTCTACTCGGCTTGTACTGAAAAACACTTATTTGGAATATTAGAATCAGTAGCAATCTGATTAATGTACAATCCGAAAGAGACATGACAACACTCCGTTTACTATATCTCATAATAACATTAATACAGTATTCATTATAGTTGTTGGGTGTACTAATCAAGTCATATTTGTCTATATATTAGTTAATTTACATCATGTCAGATATTAATTAACTCTAATTTGATTTATTTAATTTATCTTGGAGTCACTGGCGTTTATAAACGTCAGAAAAAGTCTCTTAAACGCCGTTATATCATATTTTTGTCGTTCCGATTGTACGTCGTCTTTATTGGCACCGAAAAATCTAAATAAACGCCAGCAAATCTACATCGATTGTTATCTTGCAGAAAAATAAACGTCACTTTCACTGCCGGAATCCGGTGACTGTGAAAAAATTTCTCATTCAATACCCCTTTTTTTTTTTTTTTAATTTTCTTGTAGTGAAAATAAAATTCTATTCAATTTAGATGTTAACAAATCAAGTCAAGAAAAACAAATCCTAATTTTATAACAGTTCATATAATACTAAATAAATAATGGAATAAAATCAGTAAGTATATATTGTCCCTTCAAAATCATATTACTCATGTTTTACACAAACATGTCCCATGTATTATTCTCGTATCGGTGAGTTATATCATTTTTGAGTATTTATCCTAAGTAATAAACAATCTTAATTCACAAATTTTGTCTTGTATTTATTTCTTGTTATCGATCGTTTTATGTTGAAAATTGTGAAACATACACTATAATGGAATATAGTAGTCTGTATCGTTCTAATTTTATCGGATGTCCTTGAAGGAACAAAGGAGCTCATCTAGCCAACTACATTTAAACAAGATATAAAGATATAACATTAGCAGTAGTGTTTTAACTAGTTAGTTATATCTATAGTATAAAACAAAACAAATTTTAATATGTTCATCTGATGGTCTTAAATAGACTAATTTAACGGTCATTAACGTCTCTCTTAAAATCATTCACATTGTATCGTGTCTTCATACATGAGTCACCCGACTTGGAATAGAAAAAGGTTTGGTAGATGCTTATTTACAATCTTCTAGATGGTTAGGCTATCATTAAAATAACTGTTCAACCAAAGTTTGTTTATTATTGAAGTCTTATCCAATTTCATTTTTTAATTGGCATTCTTACATCCTAGCAGATGATAGTCTTTGTTTCCACCAATGAACCAAAAAAAACCAGACAGCGAAGGCAGTTCAACATCACAAAATAATACCCTAATGCTTCAAAAAATAAAAAGAAAAATAGAAGAAGAATAATAAAGGGGTTTTTTTTTTTTTT